CATGAGAGGGGGGAGGGTCAGAGGGAGAAGCAGACTCCCTGCCGAGCAGGGAGCCCGATGTGGGACTCGATCCAGGGACTCCAGGATCATGACCCGAGCCAAAGGCAGTCGCTTAACCAACTGAGCCACCCAGGCGCCCTGAAGTTTAAATATTAGGAGTGAACCTCTTCATGTCAGCGGCATAACTGCTGATATGTAATCCTAATACTAACACTGGTGGTTTTCCATCCGACTGTCGGTTTTTCTTTGGGAGCAATGCAGATGTGGTATTATTGTTTTTAGAGCCTTGTACTTAGAAAGTTTGATTTTGTCTTTCCTTTGTAGTAATGCATTTAGTGTAGTTTTTAAACTTTAATTTTGTAAAGGACAGATGTGCATGTGAGTGTGTGTGAGCGTACATGAGCACGCTTTGCAGTTACCTCAAGAGTCATGAGAGTCAGTTATCCCTGATGTGGATGTTAGCATTAATGACTGGGTAGATTTTTTGATATTGTAGACTTCCTTTTGAAAGGCAAAATTCCTGTTTTATATGAAAGTAGCGTGATTATATTTTGAGAAGATACAAAGTTATAAAACATGAAGCATATTTCTTACTAAGATACAGTAACACTTTTTTTTAGGTTGGTAAGATACTCAATGACAGATTTTTCTCATTTCCTTCCTTGGCATTAGGGAGAAATTGTACTTTTTCAGTGAAACCCTGGCTTCAGCTAGACCCTAAGACCATATTCAAATTAATTAATGTAAATTATATTGCTTTTTTAAAAAAACATATATTCTATTTTCTATCTTTTCAACATCTGAACACACACACTCAGAACACACAGTTGAATACTTTGCACTAGTAATGATCATTAACAACTGAAAGTGCAATTACTTTGCACTAGTATCTTTGCATTGGCATCTTGCCTCAAAAGGTCAAGAAATTCAGACTGGGTAGAATTGATGAAGTGGAAGGGGAAGGGTACACCAGAGCTGAGAACTGTCCTGAGAAAACACTTAGGTCATACCCTCATCTTCAGTAATGATCTGAGACCATCAACAGAAAGTTTTCAAGTAACACCACCTTTCATGAAGATATATGATGAGAAGAAGAGCTGAAGCACACATTACAAAAGGGACTGTGCTGTTGATTAAACACCTGCAACATTTATCTTCCTTAACTTTACGACCTTCTTCTGATAAAGCCAGAATAATGGATTAAAAACAGATTTGTGGAATAGTTGATATAGTTATTTAGCAATTTTAACTACCATGCACCATAAATAAAATATTAGGTATTTTAATTTTATCTTTGGCATGAGGAAACCATATATATAAATTAGTGGGTAATCCATTTGTGGTTGTCTTTTCTGCCAGGAATTCATGTTATTAGATACAGAAGTTAAGAGCAAGTAAGGAAGAAGTGTTGGTTCTGAGAGAGCAAATTTGCTTTGTTGTCTTTTTATGATTTTTTTTTTCTTGTGCCAACAATTAAGAGTAAAGTTGTTGGTAAGTGAAGCAGGCTTGTTTTCACAGAAAATAAAAACATTTTCCCCATAAAGCACATAGATAATGACAATTTTTGAGACCATTCTTTTTTTTTTTTTTTGAGTTTTAAAATGAGTTTATTCAAGAATGTTCTTAGGAAGGCAACAATGTTTGTTATTAAAAAAATCCTCTGTTTCTTCATGCTGAAAAGGTAATGTAAGAGGCTACAGTTGTAAGCTTCTTTCTATTGGAATTCTGATAGTATATATAGCACAGTGTAGTCACTTCTGCGATGCCAGAATAAATTAAAAAAAAAAGTCTCTTCTATGCTTCTCTTCAAAAAAGCGATGAATAATAACAGAAGATGGCATTAAAAAAAAGCCATTTTTTATTCCAATTCATTCTGTAGTATTGGAGCCAGTATTTTTACCATCACAGGCTACAATTTTCACTTTATCCACTTTAATAAGTTCTGTCACCTCTCTGAATTCAACATCATTCAATACAAAAGTCCACATGTTATCGCAGAATCTGTATGTATTTAGAGAGCCCCTGAAATTGACTCTGTTCCTGACCCTCTGTGCCAATGCTGTATTTATAGCTTTATCAAACTGAAGTAGAACTTGAAGGGCAAGTTGGGGGGTGACCTGTTGAGACTGTATGAGCTCATCAAGGCTCTCCTGGAGACTGTTTCCCAGAGTGGTATTTCTGTATAACTGATATGCCATGGCTTAGGAAGAAGAAATTGTTTTTCTTATTCAGGTTTGCATTGATGTCCTGTGGGGAAGGCGCTTCCCACCGCGGAGCGGACAGAAGCGGAGGAGCTAGCTGCCCAGCAGGAAGCACCTACTTCCTGACCACCTCTTCGGCCGCTGCAGCGAGACCATTCTTATGCATTTGTTTAATTTTTTAATTTTTTATTTAAATTTTATTTAAATTCCAGTTAGTTAACATACAGTGTAATATTAGTTTCAGGTTCCAAGATAGTGATTCAACATATCCATACAACACCTGATGCTCATCACAGCAAGTACCAATCCCCATTACCCTATTTAATCCAGACTCACCAACCCACACACCTCCCCTCTGGTAACCCATCAGTTTGTTCCCTATAGTTAAGAGTCTCTTATGGTTTGCCTCACTCTTTTTTCCCCTTTGTTCATTTGTTTTGTTCCACAAATTCCACATATGAGTGAAATCTTATGGTATTTGTCTTTTTCTGAATGACTTATTTTGCTTAACATAATCCTCTCTAACCCCATCTATGTCCTTGCAAATGGCAAGATTTCATTATTTTTTAGGGTGGAGTAATATTCCAGTGGGTTGTGGGTTTATTTCTGAGTTTTCTATTCTGTTCCATTGATCATATGTCTCTTTTTCTTCCAGTGCCATACTATTTTGATCACTATAGCTTTGTAATAGCTTTGTTTGGAGTTGTGATGCCTCCAGCTTTGCTTTTCTTCTTCAAGGTTACTTTGGCTATTTGGGGTCTCTGGGTTTCCATACAAATTTTAAGATTGTTCTAGCTCTGTGAGAAATGCTATTGTATTTTGATAGAGACTGCATTAAATGTGTAGATTGCTTTGGGTAGTATAGACTTTTTAACAATATTTGTTCTTCTGATCCACGAGTATGGAATATCTTTCCATTGCTTTTTTTTTGGGGGGGGTTATTTATTTATTTATTTGAGAGAGAGAGCACAAGCATGAGTGGGGAGAAGAGGGAGAGGGAGAGAGAGAAGCAGACTCCCCACTGAGCATGGAGCCAGACACAGGGCTCAATTCCAGGACCCTGAGATCATGACCTGAGCCAAAGGCAGATGCTTAACCAACTGAATCACCCAAGCAGCTCTGTTTTTCCATTTCTTTGTGTCATCTTCATTTTTTTTTTCATCAGTGTTTTAAAGTTTTCAGAGTACACGTCTTTCACCTATTTGGTTATGGTCATTCATAGGTATCTTATGGTATTTGGTGCAGTTGTAAATGGGATCAATTCCTTAATTTCTCTTTCTACTGCTTCATTATTGGTGTTTGGAAATGCAACAGATTTCTGTACATTGATTTTATATCCTGTGACTTTACTGAATTTGTTTATCAGTTCTAGCAGTTTTTGATAGAGTCTCTTGGGTTTTCTATATAGAGTATCATGCCATCTGCGAATAATAAAAGTTTTACTTCTTCCTTGCCAATTTGGATGCCTTTTATTTCTTTTTGTTGTTTGATTGCTGAAGCTAGGACTTCTAGTACTATGTTAAATAACAGTGTGAGAGTGAACATCCCTGTTTTTTTCCTGACTGTAGAGAAAAAGCTCTGTTTTTCCCCATTGAGGATGACATTAGTCGTGGATCTTTCATGAATTTGTTTTAAAATAGCTGTTGTCAAATCTCCTATTTTACTCAAGTATCAGAATAGGACTTGTATTAACACAAAGATAATTGTGACACCTTTGCTCTATGTTTATGTACACAACTAGTAATTGCCTTTCCAGTAGAAGAAAATTGAAGAAGTGAGAAAATATATTTCACAGCCTAAAACTTGTTTGGTTAATCTTTCCTAAATTGCTGATTTACATCTGGCTCTATTATCCTAAACCCACACAAAAAGTAAAAAAATAAGTATAGTCTTGTGTTTAAGAAAGTGAGAACAATCTTCTCTTAAGTATCAATCATTAATTTGTATCTACTGTCTATCTCACAGTCTTCTCTATCATTCAGTTAAGGGTTGCAAGTATGATGCCAATTCTTGTCTCTCTGTACTTCAGAGGAACTTAACAACAGCACCTCAATAGGACTTGCCTTGTGGGTTCTCAGTAAATATTTATTCTTTTTCTGTAAGTTTTAGAAATATGTCACATCAACATCTGTGAACATTTCCCATAGCACTGTCTACTAACACCTGTTCCTTACCTCCAAAGTTTGTCTTTCAAAGTCCATTCTCTGTTCTCTTTGCCTTTTTAGGTACAAAATTGGTAGGTATTCATTCACTGCTCATGAACTTTGAAAAACATTTCTATTTACCACCTTCAGTAATTGGGCAGGACAATAAAATGCTCAAGAATCAGGTCTCAGGAAAGAGACTAATATGCAAAGACACCGTCACTACTTTGTTTTGCCTAATTTCCATATGCAGTCCACAAGATTGAACAGGTTGGGTGCTGAATGCAACAGAACACAATTTGATTGTTTTGCTTTCTCTGAGAATTTGTTTATTACATCTGCCTGGGTTGGATACCAGAGAATCCATGACTTCATTGGTCAGATAGTGAGAAGTTGTCTGGTCACACTGGCCCCTAAAATAGTCTCTGTTTCTAATTAAATGACTGCTTTAGTGTAGTATTACACATTTCCAAATTCATGTGCATTGTTCTGGAGCACAGTAGCCTGGTTCTTGAATAGGGAAGGAAATAAACTTTCTTTTTCTTTTCTCTTTCTTTCCTTTCCTCCCTCCCTCCTTTCTTTTCTTTTCTTTTCCTTCTTTTCTTTCTTTTCCATCTAGAAGTCTTACCCTTTTCTCCAACTTTGCTAATTGCAGGATGGTATAGGAGGAGCTGGGGAGAAGAAAATGGGAGTACAATCTCAAAAGGCCCTTCTTAAATAGTACCACCCTGAGGAAGTGTTGGCTGGCATTCTGGGTTCAGCAGGTTTTCAAAACTGACAGATTCTCTCATAAAGTGCTTTGGTTTGATGAAGTCTGGTTTCCTGGGAGACAGTTTCTGACATGATGATTTACATGCAGGGAATTTACTGAGCAATGTTCTTGGAGGCATTATCTGCAAGGGAGTGAAGGAAGCAAGGTGGTATAGGAATCAGTAAAACTGGGATATGGTCACAACAGAGGCCTGTTGATGCCACAGGGGGAGCCATAGAGCTGGCATGAACACTAAGAACTGTCCAGAATTGAGGTAAAGGGTCTTGTGCCCTCACATTTCCAGTATTGCCCAGTCATCGACAAATCTGCACATAGTGATGGGGTATAAACTTAGGTGAGGCAGCTCTGTTTCGCAGAGAATAATTCCTAAGGAGTCTCTTATGAACTATCAACAGTCACACTTCTGGCAGCTGGGAAATGAACATTTGGGTTCTAAAGAGGAGATATTTTTGGCATAATATAGCATCTGCAACAATTAATCCATTGTACTCTTTAGATGCATTTGTTTCATAGAGGAATGCATGTAGGAAAACCTTATAAATTTTCTCTTAATATCTACTACTTTTTTTTTTAAAGATTTTATTTATTTATTTGAGACAGAGAGAATGAGAGA